AGTCCAGCAAAAGAATGTCAACTTCATTCTAAGAAGCGTGTGCGTATCCTCGCATCATGAAATTTTATAGCATTCTGATCATATTTTCTACATGTTTATTACCCGTCTCTCTTTTAGAAAATAAGGTTAAATGATACAAGACTTCCTCCATTGGGATCGTATTCGAGGAAAATATCTTGCGGGAATTCTTTGTGCTCCAGTGTTGATGTAAGTACCTGTTGTATATCACTATATTTTTACATCAGCATGTATTTTGTTAATCGGCGTGAATCTAACCTTTATCTGATCTAAAATTAGTTGTAGAAAAATGTTAAAGGCATCAATGTTGATTTCTGTAAGGAAAACTGCCTGATAGTTTTGCGTACTGAGCTGCATGAATATGCTATCTCATATCACGCACATTACTGAATTGCAGTTCTTCTCTGGTTGCCCATTCATTCATTGTGTCAATGTTGCTTTCGTATTACCTTACCTGGCTGATGATAGCTGTGCCATATTGTGTTAATTTGGTGTAGGCTAGTTGCCCAAACGTTCGTTGTGTCAATGTTGCTTTTCTATTATCTGACTTGGCCAATGATAGCAATGCTAGTGTGTTAATTTTGTGCAGGCTGCTGAAGATAAGAAGACAAACTCTGAAAACAGCAAGGCAACCCCATTGTTTCTTTCCAGTAAATCTAGGCCAGGTAATATGGCAATAACTCATGATTAATCTGTTTGGTTCCCGTCCTAATTTATGTTATGATGCAGTGGTCAAGACACTCTCCACTATCAATAATACAAGCCTGCCAAAATCGCCATCTGAATCTGTTCAGTATCCTCTGTCTCGAATGCAACGGAATACATGTATGTTTGTGAACCAATTAATGGCTGAAGCACTGATGGAAATGGTGGATGAATCAGAGGTGCAGAGTCGTGCGACACAACAACTGATCAATGTTTTCAGAGACAGTGTGGCAAAGCAGCAAGAACTTGCCTACATGCTTATGGGCGTCATCTGTGCTGAGGTTGCAGATTGTGACGTTGTAGATGGTTAGGTTCTGCTCATTTATTTGCACTGGCATCAATCTTTGATTGCCCAGTGGATGTAATTTCCTGTAATATATTCTGAATGTGCAACGTTATTCCCTGTATGCCGTACCTTTGCTCGTCGTAATGGGCTCAAATTATCTAATTTGGCCTAAAGACATGAACGAACTTTAGTGGGCCCATTAAGTTAATGGGTCGTTACTAGGTCGAAAGTTAATGGTCGGCCCTCTTACCTCCCGGGTCGTTAACAGGCCGACATCGAAGCGGGCAACAGGTGGCCCCAATTTATTTCACAGGCCGTTACTAAGTTTGGGCTACATATGGCCCAACTATACTATAGGCCTTTAGCAGGCCGAAAGAGACAGCGGGTTTGTATTGGACCATGAAGAGCATGGGCCGCTAAGAGGCCGAAAGTCAGGTCGTATTGTAAACGGCCCAATTGTGTTGTGGGCCTTTAGCAGGCCGAAAGAGAAACCGGGCTGATATTGGACCATGAAGGGCATGGTCCGTTAAGAGGCCAAAACTAAGGTCCGACTACAAATGGCACAACTCATTTATGGTCCGTTAACAGGCCGAAAGGCACACAGGACCGGGAATTGGCCCAACACTTAAATGGGTCGCTAAAAGGCCAAAACTCAGGTCTGACTACAATTGGCCCAACTGATTTATGGGCCGTCAACAGGCTGAAAGTGACACCGAGCCAAAAATTGGCCCAACACTTAAATGGCCGCTAAAAGGGCAAAACTCAGGTCCGACTATAAATGGCCCATCAGATTTATGGGTCGTCAACAGGCTGAAAGACACACCGGGCCAGAAATTAGACCAACATTTAAATAGGTCGCTAAAAGGCCGAAAGATGTACATCCTGAAAATTGGCTCATCCATTAAATGGGCCGTTAACAGGCCGAAATCTCATCGGGCCGATATTGAGCCCAAATATATAGCGGGCTGTTAACGGGCTCGAACTGACGATGGGCTGCAATGGTGTCAAATCTTTAACGGGCCGAATTGGCACATCTCGTATGGGCCATGGGCTTAAATGGACCTGACACAAGTAGGCCTTATATGGGCCGGCCTGCTAATTTTTACTGGGCCAGCCTTTTTCACCGGAATGGGCCACTGTTGGGCCGTGCCATGTGTCGACCTATCATAGGCGCCTCCTGTCCAATGAGTAGATGACATCTGTCCCAACGATGAGCCGACACGTGTTTCCTCTAGCCAATGATGATTTTACACGTGGAAAATCCCCATTGGTTGGGGCTGTTAACGGGTTATCGGATCCAAAACCCGACCCGATAGCTTAACGGCGTTCCGTTACGGTGGATGCCACGTGTCGGTCACCCTTAACGAAAGTACTTCTGTGACGCGCGATTTATCGTCATGGAAGTGGACACTTCCGTGATAATAATTTTGATAATGTCATGGAACACTTCTACGACGGCACAGGTATGATTATCTTGATCCTATCATTAATTTGTCATGGATGTACATGCATGACAAAAACGCGACCTACTGTGACAAACACGTATCATCACGAAAGTGTATTTTTTTGTAGTGGAACCTGAGACAATGGCGCACCTCCTCGCTGGTTGCGTCTTCTCCAGACAAACATGGCAGGAGGTTCTATCTTGGTTCCAAATCACCGACATGTCGCTCCCAAGCCCGGGGCTGAACTTCCGCGACTAGTTCTCCCAATCGGTGCGGGACGCACCTACATCCTTGCGCCGCGGCTTAGCTTCGCTAATCATACTTATTGCCTGGCGCATCTGAAAGGCGCGGAGCGCATGCGTCTTCAACGAAGCAACCCCCTCGATCCCACTCTTCGTCAATGACATCAAGGAAGATGCCCGCAACTGGGCCGCCACCGGAGCCAAGGGGCTCAGCAACCTGCTCCCGCCCACGTAGTATCTGTAGTGGGGCTTGCGCATCCCTCCTCCTCTATGTATGCGCCCTTGTAGTTCTCGCTCACGCCTCTTGTGGACGTGCTTGCGAGGCTACCCCTGTAACCATCACTATTCTCTTCTCCTATCAATGCAATGATACGCAAAGCTTTTACGTATTCGTTACATATTATATTACTCTTATACACTCCTTAGGTCAACCATCTGATGGCAGCGGAGGGTGCAACTGGCTAGCACGGATACGTAGCCGATCGATCTTGTATTTCAATCGAACGCGCGGGCACTTCTGTCCCTTTCCAATCCGCTCTGAAACACTTATATACAGTACATCATTTCAATCAACACAAGAATAGTTATCGGTTCCGTAGCATATTCTCTGCTCTATCTATCTGGATTCTGGGGCCGGAGCCTGAGACGATGATGTGGGCGTTGCAAGATCATGACGTCGTTTCTGTAGCAGGTTCTAGAAGGCACAGTCAGGCCACAGTTGCACGGGAGACGCTGATGGTGCATGTGACGGCCTAGTGCTAGTGGAGTGGAGAGGTGTTAGGCGCATCGGGGGCAAATGGCGCGTCAAGTAAAGCCGGCCACTCATGTAGCCATGTAGGTGCCGACGGGCATATAAAGCCAGCCATTTTGATTCCTTTTAGCAATTTAAAACATCACATCGCTAATTGTATATGGCTAATGTGTGCTGCGTGTGTTGTTAAACAAATGGCATGCAGATAGTGGTACTGTATGATACAGAGGAGATGTTTCAGCGAATTAACAGGTTCTGCAGTAACACCACGCTCGCTCAGTCACAAATACTGCAAGGGCCACATACGGGGCATGGGTATTTACTTGTGCCATGAGACAAGATCCGATCTGATGCGCTTGATTCCAAAGATATGCACATAAAGGCACCTTCAATACTATCACGGCCACAGCGGTCCCATGGCGCGCGGGCACAACGGTCCCGGTGGGACTCATATTTGGTCCGGCCGGTGATGGGAAATGAGAGATTTAAAGGCTGTCAGGACCGTAATGATCCAGCCCCAGAGGATCCGAGCGGAATTTGAACCGACGCTATGGAGTCACGTCGAATAGATCATTACCGTCGGCCGGGCGCTGTCCTCCGGGGAGCCGTGGAGTGCAATGCGGGCGGCCATTGCCTCCTCCAATCCACACGGGATGACACCCCAGTCGACGGATCCGGACTAGTTGGAGTCAGCTGCTGCCCGTCATGCCGGAGAAGGCCGGAGATTGCCGGAGGTGAGCTCGGGTGACGAGGGGAGTGAAGAGGAGTGGAGTGAAGTGCCTAGGGTTTGGTCCGGCGAATGGATGGGTAAGAATATATATGGGGTCGGTGGGCCAGCATGAGCCGAGTCCGACACGACGTAACCTCCCCGGACACGCCATATCCGTCCCGTATTTAAACTAAATATAAGGGGTACCGATCAGCTCAGACATTTGAGGCCAGTTTAAGGCGCTCATCTGGGTCACATTTTCATGACAAGACGCTTGAGACGGGTTTGCGAGCTCTAGCCACTGCTTTCAATCCATACCCAAAGCCGTCTAGAATGATGCTTCCTTGTATCTGTATCGTTGTACTTTATCCGCTTGAAAATACTTGTCGGAGAATGGATGTATCTAGATGTATCCTAATTTTTACATACATTTATTTTTATTCATTTCTATGATAAGTATTTTGGGACGGGGCTACTACATAAGAATTATGCCATATTGTTACCGATAAGAGGATAAGAATGCTAAAGCGACCGCTGATATCCAGCCACGGGAGATTGATATCACACTAATTCATCGTAGCACTACTACAAAATTGAGCTAGCCTTCCCCAGCCTTTTTATGATCTCCACTAAACAATTGCTTTCTCCGGCCCGGCAGCGACGGAGCAACCACAGTCGTGTTCGGCCATGAGACAATCAATCAGACACAGACGGATCTGGCGTTACATATAGCGCCAATCCGTTCCCTCGTTTCCCACGTCCGCACGAATTTATAAGCCACTGATCGGTCGAGCGCTCGACTCGTCTCTCCGTACCGTACGTGCGGCCACGAAGGCGGGCAGCGATGGCCGGCGAGAGCGACGACCGGGGCGCCGCGCGCGCGCCGCACGTCGCGCTGCTCTCGTCGCCGGGCATGGGCCACGTGGTGCCGGTGGCGGAGCTGGCGCGGCGGCTGCACGCCGAGCACGGCTTCACCGCCACCGTCGTCACCTACGCCAGCTCCGACTCCGCGGCGCAGCGCGCGTTCCTGGCGTCCCTCCCGCCGGCCGTTGGCTCCGCCTCGCTCCCGGCCGTCCCGCTCGACGACCTCGTCGCCGCCGGCGCCGCCATCGAGACGCTGCTCTCCGTCGAGGCCCAGCGCTCGGTGCCGGCTCTGGCCGCGCTCCTCGCGGGCCTCGGGAAGGACGGCAGCCTCGTCGCCTTCGTGGCGGACCTCTTCGGCGCCGACACGCTGCGGGCTGCGCGCGACGCCGGCGTGCCAGCGTACCTTTTCTTTCCCTCCAACCTGCTGATGCTCTCCCTCATGCTCCACCTCCCGCGCCTCGACGCCGAGCTGGACGGTGAGTTCCGTGACCAGCCGGAACCCGTCAGGCTACCTGGCTGCGTGGCCGTTCCCGGCGCCGACATCCTGCAGCCGCTCCAGGACAGGACCAGCGACGCCTACTGCTGGATGGTGCACCACGGCGAGAGGTACCGCGACGCGGACGGCATACTTGTGAACACGTTCGACGCCATCGAGCCCAACGCGTCGGCGATCCTCCGGCAGCCCGAGCCGGGGCACCCGCCGGTGTACCCCGTTGGGCCGGTGATACGGCAGCCTGACAACGGCGACGACGATGCCACCGGTTGTATTAGGTGGCTTGACACGCAGCCCGACAAGTCCGTGTTGTTCGTCTCGTTCGGCAGCGGAGGCGCGCTGTCTGCGGCGCAGATGGACGAGCTGGCGCGCGGGCTGGAGCTCTCCGGACAACGGTTTTTGTGGGTCGTGAGGAGTCCCACTGACAGTGGGGCCGACCCCGGTGCCAACTACTACGACGGGTCGAAGAGCAAGGATTATCCACTCAAGTTCCTGCCATCTGGGTTCCTGGAGAGGACCAAGGAGGTGGGCCTGGTGGTCCCATCCTGGGCCCCACAAGTCAGGGTCCTCGGCCACCGGGCCACGGGAGCCATGTTGACGCATTGTGGATGGAACTCGGTGCTAGAGAGCGTGATGCATGGTGTGCCGATGATCGCGTGGCCTCTATACGCCGAGCAGAGGCAGAATGCAGTGATGTTACATGAAGAAATCAAGGTGGCGCTAAGACCAAAGGTTCGAGGAGCGGATGGGATGATTCTTGGTGAAGACATCACGAAGGTTGTGAATGATACGATGAATAGTGAAGAGGGGGATGCAATGCGTACAAAGGTGACAGAGCTCCAGAAGGCGACAAGGAGTGGACTGGCGGCAGGTGGCATGTCGCACAAGACGCTTAACGAGATGGTGACGAAGTGGAAGGAGCGTACATTTGCATGATGATGCCATTTATCAAGGCCATCAGAGTCGTTAAAGGGTTGATGTACGAGACTAATTGTGCGTTGTATGTTATGCCATAACTCATAATGTGTTTTGGATGAAATGGATGCGAAGCATGCAACGATGATTATGTTATCATTCACTATGAATTTGGTTACATATTTTGTTCCATTGTAATGTCAAGTTACCAATTGATTTTTTTTCTTAGAGACATTTTTTGATATGTATTGATAACTAAGTGAGCAAAGTACAAAATTATTTGGCTACACTAACATTCATATATCACATAGTAAATATACGACGTGCTACTATAAAGACCACTGATTGATGACATTGGTTTTTATTCAATCCACATGCTATATCGTGAGAGAATTAACGTCCGTGCAAACAACAAAGCATTATTTCATCCACTTGATTATCTTGCTTCATCGGTGCCACCCATTCATGAGATATCTCTCATGTGCTTTCTCTAGTGTGGATCACATTGAATTGGACCAAGCATCTACTCATTTCGAGTTCATAAAAGTGCATGCATGGACACTAAGATTTGATATATTCCTTTTTTTACTTGAAGATATGGTCTTAAATTAGGGTTTATAGTTAGCTCATGACTCCAAACTTTATTTTTCTTCAAGCATGACTCCAAATTCTCCTATAAAATATGTGCTCCACTTCCTTTGTATTTATATGTGCTCTCCTAGCAATGTTGGATTTGAGAGAGAACAATGGCAACTAGTAGTAGTTGTATGTGCAACATGTTCCGAATGTGAGGCATCGAGGAGCACACCCCATTGACTGTTAACATGATTATTGCTCATAGTAGTACATCACATGGCATGAAGAAACTTGTGGAAGGGCGATTGAGTGATGGAGTAAGATTGGAAAGTAAGTTGCTAGCAGAGTAAGCATGACACTTGATTGTGGACTCGTGGTCTAGTGGAGGGTATTGGAGCCAGGTACTAAGGATAGAGTGGTTGTGTTGAGGCAGAGGGCTGTAGGTGAAGGTCCACATGATTTTGAACCCAAAGACTAGCAAACTAGGTTAGGTCTTTGTCCATGTAAATACTAACCATCCATTTTCACCAGTTTACACTCCAAATCCACATTATGGAAGGCTCCTTTAACTTACAAGTTGTTCTTTAAGATAAACTAGGAAAAAAGATGAACAAGATAAGAGTGAAACTAAAGAAGAGAAGTGAAAAAGGAAGGACATGTTCTAATTCAACAAAGAAAGGAGGATGTCGACCACGGTTAATCTCAAAGACTGACACTAAATTTTACTTCCTAGAACACTAACTGCCTCATTTTCTATTTCAGTAGCAACAACATAAGCTACACATGTTCCAACTCCACCAGATTTTTTGTTTTAAAAAGGGACAACAACCCAGTAGTGCTTAACCATTCTCGTGATCTATGTCGGTGTCAAAACCGGCGGATCTCGGGTAGGGGGTCCCGAACTGTGTGTCTATGGCGGATGGTAACAGGAGGCAGGGGACACGATGTTTTACCCAGGTTCGGGCCCTCTTGATGGAGGTAAAACCCTACGTCCTGCTTGATTATTTTTGATAATATGAGTAGTACAAGAGTTGATCTACCACGAGATCGGAGAGGCTAAACCCTAGAAGTTAGCCTATGGTATGATTGTCTGTTGTCCTACGGACTAAAACCCTCCGGTTTATATAGACACCGGAGGGGGCTATGGTTACACAAGGTCGGTTACAAAGGGGGATATATACACATCCATATTGCCTAGCTTGCCTTCCACGCCAAGTAGAGTCCCATCCGGACACGGGACGAAGTCTTCAATCTTATGTCTTCATAGTCCAACAGTCCGGCCAAAGGATATAGTCCGTGTAACACCCCGGATGCAATTTACCTTATTTGTACTCCAACTCTTGCCATTTCCGGCACTAAGTTATTTCATTTCGTCGTTGTCGGGTTTTTGCCTTCGTGTGTTGTTGTCTTTGTCATGCATCTCATATCATGTCATTATGTGCATTGCATTTGCATACGCGTTCGTCTCATGCATTCGAGCATTTTCCCCGTTGTCCGTTTTGCATTCCGGCGCTCCTATGTCCTCCGGTGGTTCTTTCTACCTCTTTTCGTGTGTGGGTGTTAAACGTTTTCGGATTGGACTGAGACATGTCATGCGGCCTTGGTTCACTACCGGTAGACCGCCTGTCAAGTTTCGTGCCATTTGGACTTCGTTTGATACTCCAACGGTTAACCGAGGGGCCGAAAAGGGCTCGTGTGTGTTGCAGCCCAACACCCCTCCAAACTGGTCCAAAACCCACTTAAACCTCTCCCATCATCTAGAGTGTTCGATCACGATCGCGTGGCCGCAAACCGCACCTCATTTGGAGCTTCCTAGCTACCTCTACCCCTATATAAAGACCCCCCCCTTCCTAAATTTCCGGATCAAAACACCCCCCTAACCCTAGGAGACGCCCATCTCCGCCGCCGGACACGTCCAGTTCCCATCGGACGAGTCGCCGCCGCCGCCCGCAGCCAGTGGCGCGCTGCCACGTGGCGCCGCCTACCTCCCTCCGCCGCCAGCCCGCTCGGCCCAGGGCGGGCCCTCCCCGGCCCAAGGCGCGCGCCGCTGCCTCCAGGGATCCGCGCCGCCCCTCACCTCCAGCCCCGGTGACAGAGCCCGCGCCGGCCACCGCGCGCCATCGCCGGAGCTCCGCGCCTCTCCGCCACCGCGCCGGCCAACTCCGGTCGCCCCGCCCGGTTGCCGCCGCCCCGCTCCGGCGCCGACCCCACCACGTCGCCTCGCCGTCCCTCCTCGCCGGCGACGACCCTCTCCGGCGAGCTCCCATCAAGTCCAGCGACGACCTCGGCAAGTCCGGCTACAGTAACTCTGACGAACCTCGGGATCCGCGTCGGCTGGATCTGGATCTGAGATCCACCTCGGTTGACTTTTGCCCCGAAATCCTAATTTTCTTGCATACTTTGACATGCCATAACTCTATATTCGTAGCTTCGATTCATGCGTGTAGCATATCAAAATGTTTGCCTCGACGAGTACATCATTTCATCTCGTTGAATCATTTTCATTTGAGCTCATCTTGATGCCCGAAATGCTGTTGGAAGAGAGCTATGCGAGGAAAGTTGCAGATCTGTTTCAGCAAATGGCCTTTTGTGATTTTTGCCATGATTAATGTGTGCATGCTATGATCCGGAGCTCTACATGTGTTTTGTAGAATGCCATGTCATCTTTACAGAGGTGTATGTCATGTATTTTTCTGATCTTCGTGGTGACTAGCACAAGTATGCAAAGTAGCTTACTCAATGATGCTGATTTCAGGGACTTAGAATTTCACTAAGTCCTTGTCCTGATATTGTTTTTATGCCATATGTTCATGTTGTTTCCTAGTGATCCGTGCCTTTTTTGAGGATGATCAATAAGGATGTTTTGTTAATATTGTGGTGCTCTATCCATCCATGTATTTGTTTGCATTTATGGAGCATCCTATCTTGAGTCAATCAAGCTCTAATTTTGTTATAAATTGTTCCTGGCAGATTGTTGACATGTTTAGCAATTTTGCCAAGCTTGTTGTTGTTGATCCGTGCATGCTATGTTGTTGTTCTTGCCATTTCTAGCTTCTATGCCATGTCTTCTTGATGGTTGTATGCTTAGTTTGTCATGCCATGCTCTGTAGTGAGTGCATCGAACTCGTAAACATGCCTACTTGTTAACTGTTTTGCATGCTCCAGTTTTTCACCAAGTCTGAATCTGTTTTTGTTTTTGCTATGTTCGCATGCTTGCAATTGTATTTTCTGATCCCTTTTGGCTCAAGGTCACTAAGGGACTTTTGTTATATGCTTAGAGTAGCTTCATGCCATGCCTTGCTTTGCCATGATAAGTTCCTGTAGCATGTAGTTTTCATGCTCTAAAGATTGCTTCCTGATGATAAATTCCTGATTTGTTGTTATTTCACTAAGTCTGAAACCTGTTATCTTTTGCACTTTTGCCATGCTTGTTTGAACCTGTTAATGAGTGAATTAGCCATAGCTCAGTGTTCTTGTTTTGTCAAGCATCATGAGTGGATACCTACCATGTATTTTGTTGCTATGTTTGAGTGATGTAGCATATTTAACTTGATGCATTTAGTTGGTCACTTGCTGTTTATCGCAGACCGGTGCCATATTTGTTTTGCTTGCCATTTCCAAACCGTGCATCTGATTCCGGTGATCTTTATATCGATTTCAACCGAAATCACCTCACCTTTCCAGTGGCACTCTTGTATTTCCAAGTTGAGGCCAGGTTCAATCATTCCTTTCCTAATCATGCATATGCATCACATATCGCATCCCGCATATCATACCATGTTTGCATCATGTTTCTTGAGCATCGCACGTGGTTGATTGTGTTCCTTTTGCTTGTTGTTCTTGCTTGGGTAAAGCCGGGAGACGAGTTCATGAACAAGGAGCCCGTTGAGTTTGCTTACGAGGATCAAGGCAACTCTGAGTATTTTGCAGGCAAGATGACCATACCCTCGAAATCACTTCTACCTTTGCTTGTTAGATGCTCGCTCTTTTGCTATGCCTATGCTACGATACCTACCACTTGCTTATCATGCCTCCCAAATTGCCATGTCAAACCTCTAACCCACCATGTCCTAGCAAACCATTGTTTGGCTATGTTACCGCTTTGCTCAGCCCCTCTTATAGCGTTGTTAGTTGCAGGTGAAGATTGGAGATCGTTCCTTGTTAGAACTTGTTTATTGTTGGGATATCACAATATTATCTTGTTATCTTAATGCACCTATATACTTGGTAAAGGGTGAAAGGCTCGGCCTTATGCCTGGTGTTTTGTTCCACTCTTGCCGCCCTAGTTTCCGTCATATCGGTGTTATGTTCCCGGATTTTGCGTTCCTTACACGGTTGGGTTATAATGGGAACCCCTTGACAGTTCGCCTTGAATAAAACTCCTCCAGCAATGCCCAACCTTGGTTTTACCATTTGCCACCTAGCCTTTTTTTCCCATGGGTTTC